TTTAAAAATGTATGTTTTTGTTTATCTGTGCAATGATAGTCAATGGGGTCCAAACAAAAGTTGTTTTGGACCCCATTGACTTTCAGTGTATGGATAAACACATTGTCTTTTCTGTTCTGCATTTGGAATGACGCAAGGGTGTGTCTGAATCTTCATTTTTGGGTGAACTATGCCTTCAAGATAATCTTGAAGGTTTTTGGCACTATGTAATTTCCTGTTATGGACTTCACATGTGATGCTATGTGTTCTGGTTGGTTCCTGGTTGGTTCGTACTTCCTCAAACACAAACTTTGAGCTTTTGTCTGTTTCATGTGACATTTCTCATCCAAAATTCATGTACATATAGATGCCAGACTGTGGTCTGTAAGGCTCAAGATGTAATAATCATTCACAGTGGTAGATTTTAACCTTGTCTTGTTATCCTTTAGCAGAATGACAGACAATTATTCCACTATAATAATAATAATAATCATCCATAGCCCTGTATCTTGTTCTTGAGAGGAATATAAACAGATTTGCGAACTTGTTTACCAAAATCTGCTGGTTCACTGGTATTTGAAGACTTTGTAATTCATTTCCAGAAATAAATGTTCATACTGTCCAGCTCTCTGGGGTTTCTAATTGAATACAAGCACCTGCTGTGCTGCTGTTTTGGGGTTTAGCGTGTATTTGAGCCTCTGTCTTCTTTAGATATCAGCATCTTATCCTGTGGGTTTATCCCTGTAAGAGGATCCACCAGCGTGACGGAACGGGACGGGTGCTGTGACTCTAAGCCTGTTCTCCAGCTTGTCGCCATGTCTGACAGAAGAGCAACATGGTGCTATATTGGGGAAAATGCATTCCTGTAGCTCAGAGTAAAAGCATGCTGATAGCAATGCCAAGGTTGTGAGTTCAATTCCCAGTGAATGTATGAGCTGATAAAAATGTGTACATTTAATGCAACATAAGTCACGTTAGATAAAATTGTCTGCCAAATGTGTAAAAAAGGGGAAAAAAGTGTGGAAAGTTGCCTTGTGGGTGTTTTTGGTCATGGGGCCTAATGTCTTGGTACTTTTGAAGTCGTCTTTTGAAATGAATTATAACCACATAAACTTTGCAGAATTCAAGACACAATATGTAAGATTTTTTTAATTAAAATATCCCAAAACCACTAGAACAGTGTTATATATTTTGCTGACTTGTATACTTACATTATCCCAAATGTTTCAGAGAATGTTTAAATCCAGAGAAATAAGCAATTTTAACTAGTGACACGGACCGTGTCTATAGTGTCATTGTGTCGCCTGCCAATTAGGGATGGGCGATACCTCATTTTATTTTCGAGCCGATACCGATATTTTCAAGCCCAGTATCGTCTTTTCAATTATTAAAAGAATATATAATCAGTAATTATACTCACTTAATATTAGATTTTAAAGCCATATTTTTTTAACATTTCATAGGCCTTTTTTGTTTACACTTTTAGAAATAAAATATACTATAATTATATATTTTAGCCCTTTAATGGGGCAGTAACCTCAAAGGTGCAACTATACCCCTAAAAGTGAGCATATTAGTACCATACAAGTATGCATGTTTTAAGGGTAGATAAGTTACAAAGGTGAAAATTAACATGGTGTTACATAAGTACTAAAATGTATTATTATTATTATTATCTTGGTAAATTTGTGGTTACTGCAGTTTTGCTACAAATACTGTGGTAAACTGTGGTTACTGTAATAAAACCATGGTTAACTTTTGTTAAAGGCTGCCAGGCTGTTGTACCCCTAAAGGTGAAACTTCAGCATATTGAACTATTTTAATATATTTTAAAATGTAATTTAAAATGTATCTAATCAAAGCTACATTTTCAGCATCATTACTCCAGTCTTCAGTGTCACATGATCTTCAGAAATAATTCTAATATTTGCTGCTCAAGAAACATTTATTATTATTGCTGCTTCATATTTGTGTGGAAACCGTGATGCATTTTTCAGAATTAATTATATATATAGTAACAATGTAATGTAATGTAATAATGTGGCAATGGTTTCTTAAGATCTACTTACGCTTCTGATGCTTTTGGGAAACGCAGCCCTATTTGAGCAAGCACTGTGAGCCATGCGTCCGCAGCGAACGCTGTCTGTGATTGATTGGTTCTGTCTTTCAGCATTTGCGCGTGTTCCGATGAGCAGGAGAAATAGTTCTATCCAACACAATTAATAGCTAATATAGTCTATTTTTCCACTTAGAAGCTTATTTTATGCACCGAATTTCTTGATAAGTAAATAAAATTAATGTTTAAAAAAATGCACTTTAGAATCGATATTTTTATGTGAGGATCGATACAACATCAGCATCGAAAGTATCGATACTTAAGGATCATCCGAACTCTGAATTAAAAAACGTATGGACCTTTCCTCACAGGCTATTTATCCCAAGTAAAATGAAAGAACTCCATTTCAAAATTGCTCATAGATACTACCCTTGTAATTTATTTTTGAGCAGATTCTCTGAGAATATATCCTCAATGTGTTCATTTTGCAATACTGATGAAGAATCTATTCTACATATGTTTTATCATTTGCCCATTCACCAAGTCTTTTTGGTCAGAAGTTACCATGTTAATTTTTTCCTGCTGTAACAAAATGATAGAAATAACAGAATCTATCATTTTTTTTGTCAGATTTTCAATCCAAAGACATTAATCTGGAACATATTGTTTTATTGCTTTGTCTTCTGGGTAAATTTCACCTTCATAAAGCCAGAACCATTCATTGCAAACCTAACTTTAGAATGTTTTCATCTGACATAAAGTCCCTTTTTACTTATTTTAAGAATATGTCAAATCCTTTGAACTCAAAGGCTTCAAAAACTTGTAATATTCTTGAGTCTATTGTAAGCTATCTTTAAAAGACTTTCCTTTCTCTCTTTTTTTTCTTCTTCTTATCATTGGTATATTCTGTTAATTTGTGTAACTTGTCTAACTTCATGTGATGATGTCCGTTAGCCCCATGTTATTTCCTAACTGTTGTTATTTTTTCAATTGCAATAAAAAAAAATAAAAGATACTTAAGGATCTTTTTTATTTTTTTTTATTTTTTATTAATGCTCAAAAATCAAGAATAGTACACATAGAATAATACAACCATTAACATAAAAAAGATAAACAATAATAACAAAAAAGAAAGAAAAAGAACAGGGAAAAAAAAGAAAAAGGGGGTTGTTAATACATTACAAACTGAAAGAATCAAATTTAGATTTACATGTCATTAAAGATAGGAAAAGAGTTACAGATAGATAAAGTTTTTAAGGCTTTTTTGTTCTTAGACAACTGGATTAATGAAAGGTATTGCTCAAAATCTTTTATAAAAACAAAGAAGAGAGGTCTAGAGTTTGAATATTTGCATTTGTGGATGTGAAATTTTAGATACTTAAGGATCGATGCGCCCATCCCTACTGCCAATGACGTCATAACCCCTCGATTTCCGGTTTTGTTTTGTAGAAAACATGGAAACACCAAAGACGCTTTAATATGTTATGCGTTTTAATAGACCGGTGACGACCGCACAGAGTAGCATTATAACAGAACTTTTAAACGTATCTAGTATGGATATATCTATATCTACTGCATATCTAGTCGACTGTGGCATAATAAAAGCTCCGCTGCTTTCAAGCCGAGTGTCACGCACGTTTAGCGGCCTCGTTTCGCTTCGACGGCTTTCAGCCTCACCCTGCTTCATTCTACTACGTTAATAAATCATTAGCTCATCCATGAACATGATTTCTGCCAGGGTCCCCTCGGATTGCTTCGGCTGTGGGGAAGAAGACCACAACTCCCATGATTCCACACTCAGTCACGGCGTCATCAAACTACGCCTTTGTCTCTTTGTTTATTTTGAATACGCGCCTTCTAGCGGCGAAAATTACATATTGTGCCTTTAAGCCTCATGTGAAATTTTCTTTCTTCCAATAAGAAATACAATTCCACACTTTACATTTAATCCTAAATATTCATCTTTCCAGCTATATTTTGTAAATAAGAGTTGCTTTAATAATGTCCTTGTGAGTTTTTTTTTGGCCTATTCATCATTGCGATACTATGAAATCCACTTCTGCCTCTGAGTAATAAAAGGTAATTAATGGCAATTAATTATTTCCTCATGATTTCAATCAGATCTCCCAATTGTGACTTTAAATCACAATGTAATTTCATATCTCTACTGCAGCTAGATGTCTTATGTGTGACTTTATGTCTTAGAATTTTTAAAAATTATTTATTTAAAATATTTTTAAACTGTGGTGGAAAGAAACAAGTTTTCATACAAATCATCTCAATGTCTTCACAACTTAATGGGAACTTTTTCCACCCCAGTTTCAAATGAACTGAATTTTGACGTCTTGGACTTTTCTAGTAAACAAATTTATATATTTTCTCTCTCTCTTTTATTTTTTGTATACCTCGGTTCTGCACTGAATTTGACTTGTACTTTACCAGGTATCATATTTTTAGTCCCAGAAGGCTGACCTTTAGTCTTTGGACCACAAAACAATTCTTTAGTGTTTTGTCATAGGGCTTCTGTAAAACCTCAAACAAAATGTCTGCATAGCTCAATTTCAGCCAGAGAGATGCACAGAAAATGCGATTAGTGTAGACTTGTTTACGTGTGTAGACAGAAAACAACGTTTTGTACTGGAACTGTAACGTTACCCAGAGCTGTTTCTCAAATCCAAATGAGTTACAGCACGCCCTCTGGTGACAAACCGTCGTTTATTTCGTGTTTTATTCATAGGGTTTATTACGCATGCAGAAATCCATTCGTCAAACATCAGGACCATTAAAATAGTGTTTTATAGTCGTTAACTTAACTTAGGAAAAGCAGTCACAGCATCTAAAAACATGCTCTTCCTATGTCTATAGTATAGTTCATATCATTTCATATATAACTGCTAACATAAAACATATAGCTGCAAACACTATATGTATTTTATTTTTTTTAAATTGTGATTAATTTGAAAACTTTTACTTAAAATAATTATTATTATAGCAGAGAATGTTAAGATTTCTAATAGGACGATAAATATTACAATAACACTATAAATCATATCTGCACACCACTATAAATCCATATACTTTCAACTAAAATAATTGTGCTAACTCATGATGAATGGCATCGAGTGGGTTACGACAATTTTATGGTGGGCGTTGCTAAAAGGGACAAACATTGAAATCTGCAGTCTGTGTCAGATTTCAGCCTTTTCGTTTCCTCACAGCGAGATAAATCCGAGCTTCAGCGGTGCGGTAAGTGCGTTTGCGTAAATGCAAAGTACAAACCGATTAAAGACTATAATGCAGAATGCGGTGTGCAGCGTTATTAGTACGCGCTACTTCTACCGAACGCGTTTGCTGTTTGAGTCACGTGATTCATTCACATAACACTTCTTTTGAAAGACTGCAGAATGTGGAGCAGTCAAGTGCCAGATCTCAATTTAAGCCTATTTAATCAAATTTAGCCGAAATTGTACTTGCAGAGTCTAAAAAGAGTTATTGGTGAATTTTACAGATAGTTGTCGTCGACTATAAATGAAAGTGCAGACTGTTTTGATTTCATGTTCACCCAGCAGAACGTTTCCATAACGGTAGCACATGCTTCGGTTATTTTTCGGGAACCACATAATAATATTCTACAAACGTTCTCTGCTTTGTAACCAAAAACGAACTTTTGTAGAACGTAACAGGGCGTTTTTATAACAAGCTAAAGTCAGGAGAACCTATACAGAACGTTATGTGCTTATTGGGTTTAATTTTATAACCAAAATAACTAGCGTTCACAGAAAGTTCTGGTTTGCTAGGTAATTCCAGTTTGTGATTTCACGAAATAAATACAGCCTGAAATAACATTGCATATATTTAATGCACAAAATATCTAAAGTGTATAGTATAATAATATACACGTTAGATATTTCGTGTATCAAATATAATGTAGGCTATTATTAAGATCATTCCGTCTCATAAAACGTTAATAATAATTATTTTCTACTAGTGTCGTGTTTATTTGTACCAGTGAAAAGTTTTGAATAAGTAACTTACTGAATGACATTATAAAATTGTAGATTTAACAAAAAATATTTGCATTAACATGAAAGATTTGCATCTTTATAATCCCCTTTCAGATTTTAAAGTATGTTCTTCATTGTTTGCAACTATATATTAAATATTTTTGGCCTCTGTTTACAGTTGTGATAAGGAATAACCCACATACTGTCACAAACTCTTATTATTATTATTAATTTTCATTGAATTTATTTTTCAAGAAGAGGCAGTTTTTGGAAAATTGGGATTAAATCAAATGAGTTCACTATGCTTTCCTTTTTATGAACAGATGGCAAATGAAGCAAAGCCCTGTCCATGTGATATCGGGGACAAGATTGAATATGGAGGTCTTGGAGAGGAAGTTCAAATCGAGCACATTAAAGCTTATGTGGTGAAGCGTCCAGCATCAGAGAAGGCCATTATTGTAATTCAAGACATTTATGGATGGCAGCTGCCAAACACCAGATACATGGCTGACATGCTCTCAGCCAATGGATACATGTAAATATCTGATTTCTATTGTGAAAAATATGAAAACTGTTGCAGATATACCTGTTCTTAATTGATTCTTTTGCAGTGCTATATGTCCAGATTTCTTTGTTGGAAAAGAGCCGTGGAGCCCATCTCACGACTGGTCAACATTTCAGCAGTGGCTTGAGGACAAAAAGCCAACAGACATCAAAAAGTACAAGTTCAATAAACGAAATGTTCCTATCTGATGAACTTGACCATAGCTTTGAAGTAAAGACTAAACAATCTTGTCGTTTAACCAGGGAAGTGGATGTTGTATTGAAGTATCTGAAGGAACAGTGCGGTGCGAAGCATATAGGTGTTGTGGGCTTCTGCTGGGGTGGTGTTGCAACACACTACATTGCTCTTCAGTATCAGGAAATCAAAGCTGCCGTCTCTGTCTATGGTAATCCATTTGTTGTGTCTTCTTGAACAGTCAAAGACACAGGAAATATGTGGCAAGATGCTTTCTGCAATCCAAGAAATTGTACATATAAACTCATTTTACACAGGTATTGTTAGAGAGCGGGAAGACAGGTTTGATCTCAAGAGCCCAACCCTCTTTATCTTTGCGGAAAACGATGCAGTCATTCCACTTGATCAGGTAAGCTGAGGTCAAAGCACCATATATTCCATATACATACATATTCCTTCATAGTTCTTTCCACATTCTATTGATTTATTAATGCCACGGTAAGGATTATGTTACATGGATAAGCTTTATTTAATTTGCACCTATCGAATGCTTTACTTTCAGGCCAAACAGCTCAATTTAAATATAATCAGATCAGTTTTCTTTCAAATGAATTTGTAGTATCCTATTACAAATACAATGTAGCATTCAATCGAATATACTTTTATTTGAATATCAGTTCTAAAGGATAAGAAATAATAAATGGGGGTAAATGTATTCATGAATAAACTTGTATCAGGGCCATAAAATTTGCACAGATAAATCAGTTAATGTTTATTGTTCTCTTACTTTTAACCAAGGTTACTACACTAGAGACAAGACTGGAGGAAAAGTGCACTGCTGACTTCCAAGTGAAAATCTTCCCAAAGCAGACACATGGGTTTGTCCATCGCAAGAGAGAAGACGTCAATCCAGATGATAAACTTTATATAAAGGAGGCCAGGACAGATATGATAAACTGGTTGAACAAGTACATGTAAACTGCAATGGGTTAAAATAACTGAGGTGAAGGTTAAACATTCTCTAATGGCAATGTCTAATGATAAAAATCAATCATTGTGTTGACATTAACTTCAAACACACTTTTGCAGTTCTGTGTATGTATTTTTGAAGGATGAACTCTACTCGAGATTCCAACATTAAGTGACAACCAACAGAATCAAATCTGAAAACAAAGGTTTAATGATCACTTCGTTACTACATTGAACTGTATCAAATGATAAATAACAGTACGAAGGTTTGACACATTCCTTTAGAAGTGCTTGAGACCGTTCATTTCACCACAGCTACACGACGCTCAGTCTTCAGGCTCGCCGGGGCCCCTGATATCATCAATCTTCAGAATCATCTTGACTACTTGAGTGGCCAGAGAAATCTGCTGTTTCTTTCCAATGAGGGTCTCAATCACATGCTGTTGCTTCATGTCTGCAAAGATTTAAGTCAAATTAAATGCTAATTATCAACAAAGACTGATTAAATTGATCAACATTGACACTGAAGAATTTTACATCGGTACAGAAATAGTTAACCTTGTTCATCAAAAAATCTTGGAAAGAAAATGTATTATAGTTTCCACAAAAATAGTAAGCAGCACAATTGTTTTAAACATTTATAATGAGAATAAATATTCCTTGAGCACCAAATCAACAAATTCGAATGATCATGTGACCCTGAAGACTGGAGTAATGACGGCAGAAAATTCAGCTGTCATCACAGAAATAAATTACATTTGAAAATATATTTCAAATAGAAAACTAATAATATTTCACAATGTTACAATTTTTACGGTTTTTTGAACAAATAAATGCAGTCTTGCTGCACACAAGAGACTTCTAAAATATTTAAAAATCTTAAACATTTGAACTGTAGTGTATATAAAACTTTTTTAAATAGCTTCTTCCCCCCACTTTCCACAAGTACTAAAAATACATTTCTTTACCTGCTGTTTTTCTTGAATTCACACATCCGTTTACAATTTCATATCACTAAAGTAAAATAAAGAAGTCCATACCATTTGTTGATAAATGTAGGCAATCAATTCCAAGTGCAGGGTTGTTTTCCTGGACTTGTCGGGCTCTGACCTCTGTCATTGTTTGAATGGGGTTCAAACCACTGTTCTCGGCTAGTGCCATAGGAATGACCTCCAGAGCATCAGCGAACGCTCTCATGGCATACTGTTCCAGAGAGGGGCACTGGAATAGAAGCAGAGCATTTTAAACACAGACCTAACAAACATCTCTTGCACCTCAGGACTGAGAGCGTGTGGAGTACAGATGACTCTAAATATAGTATACCTTATCAGCTGCCAGGTTGACTGCAAGAGCACAGGAGATCTCTGATGCACCGCCACCGTACACAATGCGGTTATCCCTCACGAGGTTACGGATGACGCACAGAGCATCATGGAGAGCTCTCTTAGCCTCTTCAATAATCTAAATGATTCAGATGAATAGGCGAAGGAGATGACAAACACATTGTAACAGTGATTCAAAAACAGATTTAATATCTTGAATGGGAAAAACATCCCAATTTAGCTCTTAAAACTCTTAACCATTTTGTTCCCGCCACGGATGAAGATCGTCACAGCTCTGGAGTTCTTGCATTCCTCAATAACCAGCATTCTGTCTTTAGTGGTCCCAAAGCAGATTTCCTTCACCAGTCCAGCAGTGCCCAACTTCTCTGGGGTCAGCTCGCAGAATCGGGGCACGATACGTCCTCCAGTAGCAATGGCGATGAGCTGGAAATGTTTACATAAAATCTCAAGTTTGTTCATACTTCCAATAACCCATCTGTGCTATACACAATGATATTAAAAAAAATCTGGAGTCAGTACTTTTTTTGTAAGAAATTAATACTTTGATTCAGAAAGGATGCAATAAATTGATTAAATGTGACAAAGACATTTATAGTGTTATAAGAGTTATTTTAAATAAATGCTGTTCTTTGAACATTATATTAAATAAAGGGATTCTGACAAAAAAAAAAAAAAAGTAAATTTTTCTACAAAATGCAGCAACGAAAGAAATGCTTCTTGAGCACCAAATGTGCATTTTCGAATGATTTCTGAAGAATCGTGTGACAATGAAGACTGGAGTATGGTACAGAAAATTCTGACCCAAAACATTTGATCAGTAGTGTTTCGCAGTATGGTTTTTACAAACCTCAATCTCCGGTCCACCGACCCAGCGGATCGCAGGAAGCTCATTCTGCAGAAGTAAGTGATTGGCTTCATCATCAAATCCCCACTGGCAGATGGCAAGATTAGCCCCGTTCTCCTTGACCTTTAGAAGAAGCGTTTTAACAGGAAAAAATACAAAAAGAATTACATGATCAGTGTTAAATATTTGTGATAAAAATCAAACTCAAGATGCAAATTAATGCAATTTAATTCTGATTAAAACTGGCCTGATTATTCCACAATATTCAAAAAGTAGCTTTAAATAACTCCTTACTGAAGGGGGCTGTCATGCAAAATGAGAAAATGTCATTATTGCTAGTAAAAAAAAAAGAAAGGAAAACCATTGGTTTTGATCTTCTTAAAATACACACAAAAACTGATCCTAACTTCTGTTAAGATTCCTGTTTTATATACGGTATGTTCCCTTCTATTTTATAACTTTATAAAAATATTCTGAAATACAAATCATAAATACATACTACATCTTGATGTACAATATTAAATTAATAATGCATACTAAATAAAATAAATTAAAACTAGGGCTGCATGATAAATCGCATGCGATATTTAACACACATCTTGTCAGAAAAGCCGGTTCTGTAATCAGCGGTAAATCTCCATCACCTGCGGGCTTTCACATTGAGCAGCATTAACTACACAGAGCCGTTGTTCACTGACGATTTTTTTTGCGCAGCTCGTCTGTGAACAACGGCTCTGTGTAGTTAATGCTGCTCAATCTGAAACCGCTGGTTTGTCATACAAATAGAAGCAAAACATCATTCAAAACTTTAAAGCTGCTCAATCTGAAAGGCTTTCTGAAAAGATGCGTGTTAAATATCGCATGCGATTTATCGTGCAGCCCTAATTAAAACAATACCAAAATTACCTTAGGAAAGCATGCAAACAGAAGCATACAACATACAGACCTGTCGGATCATTTCCTCAAACTTCTCCTTCTCATATTTCTGCAAAGCTTTGTAGTCCTCCACTGAGGTCACATCAAGCTTATGCTTGGTTTTGGGCTTGGGGGGCTCAAATGGGCAGGTGAGGATGGCGATTTTTGTGTCTTTCAGTACCTGCATGTACATGCTTATTAACAAAGACTTTACATATGATAATCATGCCATGCATTTGCAACCAGAAGTGAATATTAATAGTAAACACAAACCTTGGGCATCTGAGGGTGACTGAACTCTTTGTCCACAATGACACCTTTGATGAGCTGAGTATCCTCTAGTTTACCACCGACTTTTCCTTCAACTTTGATAAGCTCGAAGTCAACATCCTTCCTCTCCATGTCAGCCACTGTCAGGATGGCATTGACAGCGATCTCTGCCATCTGTCTGTGGCACCGGTTGATTCTACAAACCAAAAAAAAAAAAGATTTTTCTTAAAATATTGCCATTAGCTGTTAATAAAAAAAAAAAACTTCTAAGATAGACACTCACACTTTGGATCCTAGTGTGGTCATGGCTGTCTGAATAAGAGGCTCTGTGTTGTTGGGATCCACTGGGAAACTGTCACCAATTTCGTCGAGCTGCTCAATGGCAATCTTTGCGGCCTGGTCATAACCATCGGTGATCCTGATGGGGTGAATGCCTCTGTCCAACAGCTGCTCGGCCTGCTCTAGAAGAGCTCCTGCCAAAACTACAGGGCCAAATAAACACATTAGACCACAAAAGCTACACTGGGTAAGCAGAAAACTTACTTTTCTTAAAAAACATACTACTGTATGTGACCCTGGACCACAAAACCAGTCTTAAGTAGCACAGGTATGTAGCAATAGCCAAAAATAGATGTATGGGTCAAAATGATTTTTCTTTTATGCCAAAAAATCGTTATGATATGAAGTAAAGATCATGTTCCATTAAGATATTTTGCACATTTTCTACTGTAAATATCAAAACTTAATTTTTGATTAGTAATATGCATTGCTAAGAACTTCATTTGGACAACTTTGAAGTAGGGATGCACTGATGTATCGGCCGATTTTTGATTATTTTAAAGCCATCGGCAAATCGGAAATAGCCGATACCGATGGTTTATTAATTAACTGCATGAAGACAACGAGTTGCATGTCTGTTTCATAATCCAATGTTTTTCAAAATAATTAAATACTTGCCAAAACAAAATCTGTATAAAATATAGTTTGTCAGACGGCATAGTACGGCCATATGCAAACATGACGCTAACGCATCCAACGAGTGAAATGCCCGCTCTCAGCTGGGAACTCATCATAGGCAAGTAGCAATGGCAATGCACCGGCATTAGAGTTTATCCGAGGATATGTCACGAACCGCCAAGCATTAGGCCTACATTTAAGTGAAAATTAATGGCAGGTAATATGCAGCTTTTTGTTTGAAACCAGTGTAGAACACAGATTCACACAAGATCACATCACGCACCAGCAGCGTTTCTGTGAATGGAGAAAACAGAATAAAACTATATAGGCTACATAAAAAGGAATATATAGGCCTATACACAAAATATATTTCACTTAAATCATTAACAGATTAAAGCGAAAGAAAAAAAATTGTGCCGAGTTTTGGACAATTGTAATGTGCTCCGAAGTTCATGGGAAAAAAACGAGACCGCAGAAAGCGGTTTTCTTTATTTTGCAAAAGCTTTAAAGTTTTGAATTATGTTTTGCTTCTATTTGTATGACAAACCAGCGTTGGCAACAGTAACTGTTGGGAAAACAAAGCAGTGATTGCGTCAGTGCTTCACACGCACATACAAAGTTTTGCTAATTTGACATTGTTGCCTGTTCATTATCAAAATAAAATAGTTAAAGAAACAAAGTTACACTGCTCAATTTAAATAGTCCGTAGTACAGTCTGTGCCGTTCAGTTTGACCAACGCCTCACTGCTGATATAGCCTATATGTGAAGGATGGTGTTTTATGTTGATAATGCGAGGGTGAAGAACAAAGCCTAGTTTACATAATAAATAATAGGTTAGCATCCAGATACTTCGCGAATATGGAAACATTTGGATTCGTGCAGAATGAGAGGTAGGCTTCAGTTTTGCTTTTAAAATTAATTTGTTTTGGTTTGACGCTTATATTTAGCCTAAATACAACTTTAGAGGATTTGTTGTGGAGAGAACGGAACTAAAATAGCCTAATTTCGTTCGTTATTTTGCTTTTATTTACCATTATTTTAGACTACATTATTTCTGAATGTAATAAAATGCAACGTACCCCCTACTAAATTAGGCTGTTTTTCCCCCTCTCAAAACGCTTATAGGAGTAGCGTTTTTTTTGTCCAAGCTGAAACATTTTTAAATATATTGAATTTTTTTTTTTAAAGCTGCAGTCCGTAAGTTTTGCCTCTTTGTTGCCATCTCTGTTTGAAAACCTGCAATTGCAGCTGTGTGCGGAATTATCTTCCTTGCGTGGATTGTGCGGCGGCGGCGATCGAATGTTTTGAGGTGAATGTGCGGCAGTCAGTCACTGCACCGGTGTGGATATTTACCGTACTTCGCAATAACAGATTCTAGCCTACGTCTTGGACCCAAATAAGAATTTTCACCGTATATAGTGTCATCTGAACAAGTAACAAGTTTGCCACGTTTGTTCTGACCAACTGATGAAAAAAGCATTACAATAAAATCGAGCTACCAATGGTGATTTAACCTAAATCAAACCGTGCTAATTATTATTATTATTGTTATACTTAATTCTCAAATTGTTAATGTTAACAACATCAGCATTATGGGACTATGTGAATATAGTGTGTATAAGCGAGTAGATTTAAATTTCTGCACAGTCTAGTCTAATCTAATTGCCATACCACTCGAATTTCATATTAAGAAATTATTTTAACACAAAAAGCAAATTATGCTCCCTTCGAACTGGTTTCTTTAAAATACAAATCTTTGTAATCCCAGGCTATCTGTAATCAGATGCACATTTAAAACTGGAATATAAAATGTAATTTCATTCACATGCGTTTTAAAAACACATCTGGATTACAATCCACCATCAAAATGTTACATTTAATTATTCCAGCTGCTGTGAGAAAAGGCTATAATCGATTCTCCACCTGCAGGATCCTCACATGCGATAGCCTAGTAGCCGGGACAACTTCTTTATGTTTACAGACGCGACGTAATGACGCAGTGCCATGCTCGAATTTCCTGTGAAACCCTACCTGTACCACTCAAATTAGAAAACATTATTATTATAAGCTAACCGTTGTGAATGGGACTAAAGTAAAGCGATAGTTTTGAACACTGGCTGGTTATGTACTTGCTCAAATATTGATTTCGGATCATTTTTAACCAAAAAAAGTTACGGACTGCAGCTTTAATGTTTTTATTGCGATGACAGTTTTTTCTTTTGTTTAATACATTTGTCTTTGGTAAATCTAGAAAATATTATGCTGTATTGGCTATGACTAAGGGAGATCAAGACTCTCTTAATTATTTGTTTTTGGTTTTTGAGTAAATTAAACGCTGTACTTTATTCTTATTATTATTGGCAAAGAAAAAGTAAAAAAAAATTACGCTAATAACCGGTATGTGTTCTACTCAAACCGGTTTTAACAGAGGAACGCAGGAACAGAAACGTTCAAATACAGATTCTGCTCAGAGTGAACCAATCTTTCCCCTCGTTTTAAAGCCCTGCTTTATGCAACTGACCAATACTGGTATCGGAACCGGTCAATAGTTGTTTGTTAAAATCAGTATCGGTCAAACAAAATCCTATCGGTGCATCCCTACTTTAATGGCGATTTTTTTTGCACCCTCAGATTCCAGATTTTCAAATAGTTGTATCTCAGCCAAATATTGTCCTATCCTAACAAAGCATACATCAATTGAAAACTTATTTATTCAGATGATGCATAAATCTCAATTTCCAGGGTCATATATAGTACATTTGAGGTACTTTAATATATATAAAAAAGTTAGCTACTATAGCTTACAACCAAGAGAACATGGAATCTACATATTTAAAAAATAATATTTAAATGATCTTATCAAAATAAACAATAATAAAACAATATACACTACAGTTAAAAGTTTCCAGGTCAGATATTTTTTAATGCTTTTGAAAGACTGCTCGTTGTCGACAAGGTTGCATTTATTTGATCCAAAATACAGAAAAAAACTGTAATATTCTGAAATATTACAATTTGAAAGAACAGTTTTCAGTTTAAACACATTTTAAAAATACATTTATTCCTGTTATGCCATAACTGAATTTTCAGTATGAAAATCGTTCTAATATGCTGATTTAGTGTGCATGAAACATTACTATAATTTATATACATGTTCCTCATTTTAGCCAGGCCCTGTGTAATTTCTGTCCAAACTTCTGATACATGTACACATTAGAATACTTGCTAAACAAACATGCAGGGGGGAATATGTAGAGGTTCATGGATTTAAAAAGCCAAATTCTGCATCCTATGTGCAGTCAATTGTTTATATGTTTAATAAGAAGAAGAGGGAGATGTTAAGGCGAAGTGAACTCACCAACAACACCAGTAGTTCCATCTCCAATTTCATCATCTTGAGACTTGGAGAGTTCTACCATGAGCTTGGCAATCTGATGGTCCACATCCATCATGCTGAGGATCGTCGCACCATCATTGGTCACAGTCACCTCTCCATCCTTATCCACCATCATCTTGTCAAGTCCTGTAAACAACAATCAGTTACATTAAGAAAACAGCAAGGAACGGACTAGCAAGGCTACATGCAGAATTGAGGACTTACCATTTGGCCCAAGTGATGTTTTCAGGGTGTTTGCGACTGCTTTTGCTGCCATTATGTGAGACTGAAATGTGCAGGTTTAACATTAAAATATGCGTGTCACAAACAACCAACTTCTTGACAGGATTCTTGACAAATAATCATACGTTAATTAGTAGAAAAATAAAGTCAAAGTACAGTTACAGCTGTCTTATGCATATATAAAAAATATGTTTCATGTCTCCCTGACTACGCATCATGAATCTACACCGCTAGAGGAAGCACGTGGACCATCCGCAGGTTGGCATGAGGTGCATTACTGATCACATTAGACAATTACAGAAAGACATGTTCCTATGTCAGACTACATAAGCATATCGTAATAAACACGTATTTAAAACATGAAACAGACTGTGCCGTTCTGGATTACAGATATGATATAATGCACAGTCAAACGCTCAGAGAGCCCGTTAGCACGCTAGCTTTTGTACCTTCAGCGCTTCCAGGCCAGTCAAGCGAGATTTCTTGTCCTGGTCCTTTATTATGATGAAAGGCCTTCCATATTCATCGAAGGCGAGGGTCCCGAGTGCGGACATTTTTAATCACCACCCCAATGAAATGCACAGCTATGAAAAATTATTTTAAACTAGATTGTTTGCACCTCTAGCTGTGCACCTCGCCGCGCGGGTCTGCCGGCTGGTTCTGGAAGAATCTCGGGGCGGGACGGAGCAAACCAAATAGAGTGCGATATAACATCCACGGCATTTTCGGGAAATTTTGATAAACGTGGAGTGGATAGTTAAGAAAAAATTTAAAACACTTCAGAAAATTGTTTAGGAATAAAAAAAAGAACGAAACCTATCTCTTTCTCCCAAACCTTAAAACTGAAACATAAAAATGGTTTATTCCACTCTCGCGATAACTCCAACACGCAACGCAAGCCTAGCCACAGATTTATATTCCATAGAGCTTGACTAAACACATTGAGATTTGTGCTCGACTAGTACATCTTTTAATTTACAAATTGTTTATTTCTGCAAGGCCATGTGCGAGTCCAGAGTAACGTGGTATCCTGTTCCTCCAGTTCATGAGAGCGTGTCAGTGCGGGATTCAGTATGTTACTCGGCCCAAGACGCGGTTAGAGTTGTCATTCACAAAATCAAGGTAACCTTTATCAACTTAAACAATTTAATCACACCGCTCACAATCTAAATTTGTGACCAAAATCTAATTTAAACTTCGGATATTCGGATGGTCTAAAAAGAATGCTTGGTGTATTAAACACAAAACTGTCAACTATAAATGAGAGTGTGGACTGTTTTGATTTCTTTGACATTTGTACATGTCTGATGTAAATAGTCACATGACCAGAGCTGTTTAATTCCAGTTTGTACATGGAAGATGATGCTTTTTTGCCCCACAAACATGTAAACACAATATAAGCCATGTTTAAAACGTATTATGTATGCATGCATATATATGTAATATAATGTTTTATGCGTACACTACTCTGTCGCATAATCAGAATCGCAAGCTATGTAAATACATGGCTGACAGTCTCATTTTTGAATAAGTAACTTATTAATTGACTTTAAAATTAAAAGAAAGAGTTATGTAAATGAAATATAAATGATTATGTAAGTTAATATTACATCACTCATGTTGGGAACTTTATAATTAATTTATGATTTTATGTAATTTTTAATTCATTGTTTATTAAGTTATGTTTGTAAATATTTCAAAGTACATAATGATATAATACATATATTTATAATATCTATAACAAATATTTTTGTTATAATGTAAAAATGGAATATTGTTATTGCTTTTCACAACGTGCAGAAATGATTTTCAACATTTTAACCCTTCTTTATCCAGCTTTTATAGTATGCCGTGTGAAGTTGCTGCTCGCTTCTTGATATTGTATGGATCTCAGCGTGGTCAGGCTCAGTCTATAGCCGAAGAGATCTGCCAACAAGCAGCCGAACATGGGTTTACAGCTGACATCAACTGTCTGAGCAACCAGCACAAGGTATGTTTCTTGCCAATTACCTTTCATGGATATCAAATCTTTGACAGTCATATATCAGAACTGACTGATGCAACTTTCTCATGTGTTCCCAGTACAACTTGGATAGTGAAATCCGGCCAGTTGTTTTTGTGATTTCCACGACCGGTGATGGGGACCCTCCGGACACAGCTCAGAAGTTTGTGAGAAAGATCAAGAACAAATCTCTGCCACACAACCACTTCTCCCATCTGCATTATGCACTGTTAGGTAAGATGATCATTCGGTTATGTAAGTGTGAGCTCCACCCATGAGCACTTTTTCATGCTGTTATATATGCAGCTTTGGGAGACACAAACTATGCAAATTTCTGCAACGGGGGCAAGACCATTGACAGCCGTTTGCAACAGCTTGGTGCTAAACATTTCTATGCCACTGGGCATGCAGATGACGGCACTGGGTAAGCATGAATGTTAAGTAACAATAAAAGGCAGATTCTCTGAGATATTGCCTTTTCAAACTTCCAGACTCTTTTCTTTCCAGACTTGAAGTAGTGGTGGATCCTTGGATTGAGGGACTCTGGGACGCTCTGAAAAAAACGTTCTCCAGCATGGCTACTTCAGATCAACAGGACACCGACCTTAGTGACTGTACACAGGACGATTTTCATAAAAATGCATCTGGCCAGGAAAAATATAAGTCGGATCTAGAAGTTGATCTTCACCTTTTAAAGCTGAGTGAAACAGACTCACAGAAAGGAAAAGCGATTACATCTGATAGCATTGATGTAGAGACTCTTTCTACAGTGTTGGTTGCATCTCTGAAGCAGTCGGTACCACTGTTGTCAGAGTCTGCACTTAATGTTCCTGCACTTCCCGCTTCATATCTGGAGGTCCGTTTGGAGCAGGTGTCAACTGAAGGGGTATGATCTTTTGGAAAATACAGAGATCAATTCATGAAACACAAGCCAGACAGAATTTCTGTTTAAAACCTTTTGCGTAAATTCATTGCAACAGACAGTGTGTATACATGGATTTAGGAACATTTATGCTTTTTATGAATAAGGTTCATTCAATAAATGTTTTAGTGTAAATCAGTGGTTCTCACCTAAGGGCATAGGCCTGCTAGGGATGGACATTTGATTATATTAAAAATCAAAATGAATTAAAATGCTAAAAACAAACAAAAAAAATTAAGATTTTCTTTTCCCCCTTAATTAACTTGTTTCGTTATTGAAGAACATACAGATTCTTAGATCTTGTAGAATCACAAAACGAATCATGGTTAATTAAATTTAATTATCAACACTTCAGTTTCTTTTAATCAAGTAAACAAGCAGTGTTTTCAAATTCACAGCAAAAATATGAGAGGCCTTTGAATAATTGTGTTGGACAATGGGGGGGGCGGGGGGAGCATTTGAGTCCAAAAAGTTGAGAACCAGTTGTATAGATAATGTGGGATAAATATCATTTCATTAATTGTTTCTATTATGTCTATAATTTTGATAATTAACTTTCATAGGAGACAGTCCCATCTGATAAAGACGGTTATCATGAGGTGTCCATTTCAAAAGCAGTTCAATTAACTCAAGATGATGCAGTGAAAACTGCCATCTCACTGGAGCTTGATATTTCGGTAAGTCCATATTTATTCACTTTTATTTAAGTACTGATGCAGCAGTATTAAAATTCCGGTTGATACAAATGAACCAATAATTATTCAAATAATAAATGAATTATCTTTATTTAAAATGAATCATCATAAATGAATGGCTGATATTAAAATTCCATAAAATATAATATAAATAAAAATGTAAAACTCAGTTTTAAATGCTACAAGTGAATTTAGGCATCACAATATTATAATGTACAATATGAAAAATGGATATTCATTCTGATAAAATTACATTTAACATGATTATTAAATTCTTAGTGTTTTTTTATAAATTCATATTTAATCTAAACGCCAAATTAAAGGTAATCTAAATGTAAAAACGGGGAAATGAGCATGAACAATTAAATGTGGGTATTTTATACATTTGTTTGGAGGAATACATAAACATGTCTACTTGACTGATCCCAAACTAAATTCTAATAATACCCAAAAGTTTACTTTAGAGATATATAATACCCAAAAGTTTACTTTAGAATTTGGTTTGGGATCAGTCAAATAGACATGTTTATGTATTCTTCGAACAACAAAAAAAATCTATGTTGTGTTCTTTGTGTAGGAGTTATAATAAATGTTGTCTCTCCAGGAGCAGAACCTTGCTTATCAGCCTGGAGACGCCTTTGATATTCTCTGTCCAAACAGAGCCAGTGAAGTTGAGGAGTTGCTGCTCAGACTGGATCTGCAAACACAAAAGAATTGTGCTGTTCAGGTCAACTTGCTTAAAAACAGCAGTAAGAAAGGTATTGCAGCCGTTGTTGACATAATCAGTGACACCAGGAACATTCTCCTCGAACTGTGCCAGAAAACAGATAATATAATGCATTCCACTCACAAGTCAGAGATCTAGATTCAGATTGAACAACCAGAAATGTTGAATAAATGCATAGCCGTTTTTTTTCTTTTACAGCAGCAAAAATTCCTCTTCACATCCCACAGAATGGCTCTTTGCAGTTTATTCTCACCTGGTGTTTGGAGATAAGGAGCGCTCCAAAAAAAGTAATTTTGTGTTATTAACCTTATTTAATGTGATAGCTGCTGTGCTGTTGAAGTTCTGAACCTTTGATTTAGCACTAGCGCTTACTTCATACGCAACAGTGCTTTTGATGTACCGGTGGGGATGATTTATTTAGCTTTCACATGCAAGGCTGTAGTCTGAAGTTCCTGGACAGACCCTGTACATTGTTCTCTTGTGCTTTCAGGCTTTTGTGCGAGCATTGGCGGACTTCACTCAGAACAGTTCAGAGAAAAGAAGGCTTCTGGAGCTGTGTAGCAAAGAAGGCTCAGCAGACTACAACAGCTTTGTCAGGGACGCTAACGTATGTTTGCTGGATCTGCTTCGGGCCTTCCCATCCTGCCTACCTCCACTCAGCCTTCTGTTCGGTCAGTAAACACATGATCTGCTTGGAATTTACTGGAATGTGGCTATTTTTTTATTTCTTATCAGCATATGCAGTTTGCAAGGTAAATGTGCCTGATGTTTGGAAGCGTTTGCAGTGCTTGTACCACCAGATGGCAGTAAAACAACATTAGATCAGAGCCCCCGCTTTGCTTTTTCTCCTTTTAAAGGCAACTGCAAATATAGCCTCTGAAAAAATACATTTTAAACTTAGCATAAAATTTGAGACTCACCAATGCATGTCAGGGGACACAAGGAGAATGATGATGAATTCAGCAAATATAAACTAAAAAATTAAGGCTGTCAGTCGATTAAGATACTTAATCATGATTATATTTCATAATTAATTGTATTAAATGCCATCAGTCTCTTTTAAGGGGAACATTTTTTTGAGTGGATGACACTCTATACTGAAAATGTATATGTAAAGACACAAGATTGGGTTTTCAAGATTTTCTGCTGCAGTGCTCTTTACTGATCTTGCTCGCACAAAAACACAGATTCTTTCTTAAACCATATCAAATAGGCACAGAAAATGTGAACCCCATATTAAGTACTCTAAAAGCTTGAGGTCGGTAAAATTTGTAAATGTTTTTGAAAGAAGTCTCTTATGCTCACCAAGGCTTTACTATATTAATATATATTTTAAATGTAATT